CATAAAGGTAACAACTAAAACAATAATTCAAGCCACCTAAAATACAAAAAATATAAAAAGGAAATAAAACAAGCTTTATAAACAGTAAAAATAACATAATATAGTTGGCCCTGGCTGGTGTGGCTCAGTGGATTTGAGCACTGGCCTGAGAACCAAAGGGTTGCCAATTTGATTCCCAGTCAAGGCACGTGCCCAGGTTGCAGGCCAGGTCAGGTCCCTAATGCGGGGGCATACGAGAGTCAACCACACATTGACATTTTTCTCCACTTCTTTCTTACTTCCTTTCCGTCTCTAAAAATAAAATTTTAAAGTCTTAAAAAATATATAATATGATTGGTAAATATCAGTTAAATAATATGAGAGTTTAAACCAAACAAATCAGTCATATAAATGAATGTAAATGGAATAATTTAAACTTTTACAATAAAAAGATTTTCAGATTTGCTCAAAAAGGAATCTGAGCTCTATACTTTGGACAGAGATATAAGTAAAACCAAGTGATTCAAAAAGGCTCCAAACAAGTGTATGGCTAGAGATGTGTCTGATAAAGTATAGAAAAACATTTAAAAACGAATCCATAAGAGGCCAGTTGAATATATACAAAATGGAGTACTTTGTGACTATAAAAAAGAGAAATATCAGTACATATGATATGAAATAATTTCCAAATCACATTGTAAAGTAAAAAAAGAATTTAAGTCACAAAGTATGTGTGTTTGTGTGCATGCTACGATTTGAGTGAGAAAAAAGAGGAAATAAGATTGTGTAGATATGGATGTATGTTTGCGTGTTTTCTTATTTTTAAAAAATAACCCAGGAAATATGGACCAGAAACTAATGAAGACTATTGCTCATAGGACCTATTCAGAAAAATATCTGATTCCCATTGTCATGCAAGAGGTACACAAGGTTAGCTTGTACCAAGGAGCCCATGGTACCTCACACAGCAGTCATATCAGAAGAGCCCAGAAACCACCTTGAAGTTTTTGAGTTAAGTTTCTACATGCCAAATTTGAGATAAGGAATAATAATTACAATGGATTTAGGCTTATAAAACAATAAAATCTGTGGGTTTATAATGATAATATTTAAGATATTTACAATGCTCATAAGATATTGGCAAAACAACTTCTATGGGAAACTGATAATTAGGTTTGTTAATTCTGCTTTTTCTATGAGAATTCTGTTTATTTTGTTCTCTTTTAGGTTTGAATCTGTACAGTGAAAGAGAGAGAAAGGGAGGGGGGAAGGTAGGAGGAAGGCAGGAGGGGGAGGTAGAGAAAGAAAAAGAGCAGAGGAAGAAGGAGTAGACAGAAGGAAAAGAAGAGATGGAAAAAGGGAAGAGAATAAACTGAGAAGGGGAGCGATGGAAAAGGAAAGGAGATAAAAAGAAAAATAGAAGACAGAGCCAAGAAAACAAAAATAAAATAAAGATTCTACCACTATTTTTAAAATTGAATGGAAAAAATGCCAAAGATAATTATTTTGAGGTTTTATAAAGCCACATATAATTTCTAAAAGTTTCCAGAGAGACAACAGAAGAATGGGAATCAGAATGGCATGCAATTTCTCTAAAGTAGCACCAGTTGCTAGAATACAGGGGAAGAATGCCTTTGATGTCAGAAGGAAAGTGATTCCACATCTAGAATTCTGTAGAAACCAAATTATCGACCATGCGTGAAGAAAGAACAAAGATCATAGACAACATGTCAAGACCAAATGTTAACTCGCAAGACACAACTAAGTTTTCTTAGCCAAATGAAGGAATGAACCTTGAAGAGGAAGACAGAGAGCTTGCAACCTCTGCAAAGGGAAGTCTCCGCAGGACCAGCTGCTACATGGAATCCAGGGAGAACAATCTCTCTAGTCCCCGAACAAGAGAACAGAGGCCACCAGGAAAAGTACCTCAGATAAAAAAGAACAAAAGATTATTCTATACAGTTGAGTTTTTAAGGAAGGTATTTGATAGACCCACAATGGACTTAATTAAACGGGAAGATAAAGTTTTATTAACTTAAAAAAAAGCACAAAAATCACACAGAATACAAAATATAAGTAATGGTACACTAGTTGTTTCAGTGGCAAAAAGGGTTTGCGTGTCCCTAATAAAAACTGCTTATCAAAAATGATGGAAAATTGTGTTATGCCATCAAAGATGAGAGAGTGGGGAGGGATAAATAAATATTCATTTACCACAATAGAAAGTTGATTAATATGTCTACAATTGATATTAAGAAATATAAAGTTAAATTTTTAGAGAAATAGCTAAAACAGTACAAAGTGGCTATAGCTAAAATGCACAAGTCTTAGTGAGCATAAACCTAGCCATTTTAGAATGCACATTTTAGTACTATTTTTCACATTGACTTCTGAATAAAAATTAAAAAGTAAAAACAAAATAAAAGGAACAACAGAGAGGGAGAGTAGACGGAGTCATTTGGTAACGTGCAGGTGAGAGATGGTGGCAGTGTGGGACTGTGTAAAGGCAGTCAGTGTACATGGGGAGGTTCAGGCACAGTTCAGGTATGTCTTAGACACAGCTGACAGATCTTGTGACAGTTTGGGTATGACAGCAGAGAGGGATGGAGATTTGCTCCTGATTTCTTCTTTGCCCAACTAATTAGAGGCTGCTAACATCAAGACAGAGAAGATCAGGAAAAACCATGTTTTGGAGAAAATTCTAAGGTGCTTTTTGACCATGTTAAATTTAATATGTGTTTGAGACATTCAAACAATTATATCCTGCTTGGCAATTGGATGCATGAGTCTGGAGATCTCAAAAATGTGTCAGAACCAGAGATACACAACTGAGTCATCTTTATATTGATGATATTAAAAGCTATAAAAAGTATAAGTATGTCACATAAAAAGAAAGAATGGAAAGTATAGAATAAAGAACCTTTTATCTGAAACTTACAGAATTCTAACATTCTGACTATGGTTAGAGGCAGAAGAATCTTTTCCAATCATAAAGGTCATTACTGCATAGTTTAGTTACTTTTTAAAATGTCCCTCTTTCCTACTAGAAAATAAGTGTAGATATTGGAACTGTCTGTGTTTGTGTTGAGCAGACAAGAGCGATGAGATATAATAGACCTCTCTGAATATGCACGTGCCTGTGAGTGTATGACTGAATGAACAAAAGGAGTCATAAGAAATTAGTAAGGGAAGAGTGAGTACATGCTGTTGAAATACCAGTTAGCCATAAAAAATCAGACTTTAATTCTCACTCTACAGCATTCTAAAATGAATCCCAGTTCAATAAGAGTGCTCTTTATAAAAATTTAGGCTATGGTAAATGAAAGATAAAAACTATGTTTATAAAATATCTCTGAATGAGGGAGAACATAAATTTTAATATAAATAGAAGAAATAAACTGCTAACCAGTTTATCTAGGACCATTCACTTATTAATCCTTTCTTTTCTTATTAACTTGTGAAGCTCTTCTTATTTTATATGGGAGTAATAAAATGTAGATAATCTGATTTTTCAAATTGACTGATGTACTGATTCATGATTTAAAATCAAATTATTTTAATTGTTGGAATGTCATGATATACTTTAATCTGTAAACATCAAGTCTATTTGTTTTATTGATTACTATTTTTCTAGAAAAATTTAGAATTATTTTGCCAGGTTCTGGCAAAGAAGTCCTTCTTGGATGTTTATTTGTGTTAAATTAATCTGTGAGTGATTTTTGGAGAAACAAGCCAAATAATGTTACATCTTCAACTCATGCCATGTACTAATAAATTCTGGGCAGAATCAGGAGTAAAGTACAAAAATTTAAACTGTCAAAAAAAGAAAAAATAATAAAGAAGGAGAAAAATGAGGAGGAGGAGGAGATAAAAGAAAAAGAGAAAAAGAAATATTGATAGTAATAGTGAAAAAATATTAGTAGCATATCTCAGATTAAGAAATTCTTTTCAAAAAGCATAAAAGATTATACAATACAAAAATCAACATATATGAACAAATCAAATTTTAATTTTTATCAATTTATAAATAAATATTAAAATACTATTAACATACAGAAAACATTTGCCACAAATAATTTCAATACTTCAATATCTTTTCTCTTTAAACAGTATTACAAATAAAATTAGGAAATAATAGGAAGACTTAAAAAAATTAACAGATAATTCATAGAAGAAAAAATGGCCAATAAACAATATTAATTCATTTCACTATTACTTTAAATATATAAGATAATAAGGTGACTTCATTAATGTTTTAAATGCTTATTGAGTGTTTACCGTGGAAGTTGCTCTTCTACATTCCATAGGACCTAACATGATGATGCTTTTAAAAAGGTGAAAGACTTAATCATACTTCAGGTTAAATAGATTTGAATCTGCTATAGCCAGCTTGTTATAATCCCTTATTAATTATTCTACAAAGTGTATATTTGACTCTGTGTGTGTGTATTTCCTCTCACTCCATTTTCCTCCCTATTCATGAATCTTATCTAGATTAAACTTCATTACTTTAAAAATGGGTTATTGCAATTAGCTTGCTTCTAGTCTCTCTCCCGACAAACCAATCTATCTATGTCTTCCAGATCGATTTGCTGAATGAAAATGAACAGACTTCTACCAAGAAATTGTAAATATTTCAAATACTCTACATAAGATTATATATGTCTTCCATTAACTAGATAAGGTTAATCAGGGCAGACTCTTATGCACATTTAAACATTTAATTTTGATGCTGTGTTGATTTATTGAGGTTTGTAACAATAGTCTGACGCAATTCCATGAGAATAATGAGAGTTGGTAAGGAAAATTACCATTGAGTTTTCTCCTGCTTTACTTGGTAATGGTGGAGTTGGGATTAAGATTTGCCAGACAATTTTGAAATTCCATTCATATATCTTCCTTAAAACACAGGCTAATCACTTAGAGATTATTATTTTACATGAAAACATTTTTTGTGTTTCTATGTCCCTTATCTATGACACCATTTAAAAAAATTAAAATGTTTCCATTGAAGATAAAGTTCATTTAAGAATATGATTCCGTATAATTTTTTTAGAACATTTATCACCTCCTTATTTCTCAGGCTATAAATAAAAGGGTTTAGTAAAGGAATTACTATTGTATAAAAAATAGCCACTGGTATATCTTTATTCCCTTCTCCAAGTGGTCGAATATACATGAATAGACAAATGTAGAATATTGAGACAGACAGAAAGTGGGATGAACAGGTAGAAAATGTTTTGACTCTTCCTTCTTTGGATTTCATTTTGAAAACAGCGAAAAGGATGCAAATATAAGAAATCAAGACAATGGCAATGGTGAGGATTAGAATTGGCATTGAAAAAATATATATCATTAGTTCATTGATGTAAGGGTCAGTACAAGAGAGTCTGTAGAGTGGAAGGATATCACAAAAAATATGGTCAATTTTATTAGATCTGCAGAAAGTTAACCTTAACAGAAGCCCCACATGGATCATGGAGTGCAGGTTGCTAGCTATGAAGGTCCCTATGGTCATTTGGATGCAGAGCTCCTTTGACATCATGGTGTGGTACTGCAGTGGACTACATATGGCCATGTAGCGATCATAAGCCATTGCTGCCAGGAGAAAGCAGTCTGCAGTTTCAGCAAGGCAGAGAAAATAAAATTGTACTATGCATTCATTGAGGGAAATCACTCTGTCTTCAGAAAAGAAGTTTCCTAACATCTTGGGAGTAATGGCACAAGAACAACAGGAATCCATCAGAGCCAGGTTGCCCAGAAAGATGTACATTGGTGTCTGAAGTTGACGCTCCATAAATATCAATGCCACCAGGCCAAGATTACCCACCATGGTGATCAGATAGATGGCAAAGAACAGCAGAAACAGAAGGATCTTCAGCTGTGGATAATCTGTAAATCCTATGAGGATAAACTCAGTTGTGAAGGATTGATTTTCCTTAGCCATCCCTGGTTTCTTGGTTGAGATAGAAATCATGGAGAAATGAAATTCTAAGGTAGAACGGTGTAGCTCTGCCCCCCTAATATTTCCATATACCAGATGAAAAAACTCTCTTTAATCATCCTATGCTGCCTCCTGAAAACTAGCACATGCACAGCAGGTCAAGTCTGTAAGAAGAAAAGTATCACAGACGGTGTACACAGGATTGTCTAGAAATGCTTGTGTGAATCCCCAACAAAGAACAGCTTCTTTTTTCTGCATGAATTAACCAGTGCCGATGTGAAAAATGCTAGTCAGTGTACATAATTCAGCATCTTAAAAATTAAAAAACATTTTATTATGGTGTTTTTTTTCCAGAAAAAAATAAACAAGTTTAAAATACTTTCTTATGGAACTGATGTGGTATTTGAAAATCAATTGCTCTTTAGACATTTTAAGTGTCTAATATTAAGAACTCCACAGAATCACAGTGGATTTTTAAAATGGTTCCTCTGGCTTAGTATCCCTTCACAGCTAAGTTATCATTGGATACTTCAGAGAAAGACCTATTAACCTTTAAGACAGTGTGAGAATATAAGTTAATTTTGATAGTTTTATATTTATTGCAACACATTCTGAATCTTACTCCTATGTTAATAGAACACATCCCCCAAGAAATTATTATTCTTAATGATCTGTTTATCTTAATATTTCCTAACTCTAGTTTTAAGTGTCCAACTTAAAACTCTTAAAATATTAAGTGTTTAATATTATGAGATTTGGTGACTAAGTCTCCATTCACAGTGTTCATATTCCTCGTGATAAATACCTATCTTGTACTCTCTGAAACTTCTAATATAGAAATTAATGTCTTCATTTTTGGTTATCCCATGGAGGTTCTGCATTAATTATATGATTATTTACATATACGAACACATTTACTTCTAATTCCCTATATATTTATTGGAATTCAATGATCACCCAAGTTTATTATGTATTTATTATAGTTTAGCAACCAAATATTACAAGAAACATAGGTTTTTAAGAATGTCAAAATCATTTTTCTTTTCTTCTAGAAATTGCTAAAATATTTGGCCTCAGCATTTTTCAGATAGACACTTTTGAAGAAGAACCTATAATGGTTAATCAACATACATTGTTTTTAAAACATATTTTGGGTCCTGGCTGATGTAGCTCAGTGGATTGAGCACGAGCCTGTGAACCAGAGGATTGCAGTTCAATTCCCAGTCAGGGCACATGCCTGGGTTGCAGGCCAGTTCCCAGCAGGACACGCACAAGAGGCAACCATACATTGATATTTCTCTCCCTCTCTTCTTCCCTTCCCCTCTGAAGATAAATAAATAAAATTTTTTTTAAAAAAGAGCTCTTTAAAAACATTTTGGTGAGTATTTTTTTCTGTTTCTTATCATTGTCTACCCTGAATTTAATAAACTATTTTTCACATAGTATGGTAAGATTTTCTGGAGTCTTATCACTAGAAGGTTGTGATAAAATGAATAAGGTATGTTTGCCCTTTATAGTTTAGATTCATAATACTTCAAAAATACCTTTTAGAATTATTGTATTTTGGAAAAACATAGTGAAAGTATGCAAAGACAGCTTTTTATTATTATTTTAGCAAAATATAGTGGTAAATTAATTGAAAATACTTATCATATGAACTCTGGTTTACTTCTCAATAATCACTGTTTTATGTAAAAAATAATGTATCAGAATAATAAATGAAAACTTATTGCTCCTTCCCCAATGTGAAATACAAATTATTCAACTACTTAGAAACCAATATTACTTTATATCCTACAATTATTTTAGAGAATCATTTGCAGCCTTACCTGTATGTTTATGGAGAAGACAATGGTATTTTTGAACTCAGAACAAGGCAGAATGATCCACTGTATTGTGTTTCTTTATGGCTATGTAGGTGTCTTCAATTTGGAGACAGACCAAGAAAATACTTAAAAGTGCTGAAGTATTTTAGGGAAGTGTGTATTTTTGCATTTTAATGCTTTCATGTGAATATATTAGAAATCAGTTCTCAAATAAAATGACAAACATTTTATAGTAGCTGATTGGCCACCTGATATTTATTTTTAGATAAATTAAGAAAATCTGTGTCTTTAAAACATTTGGGAATAAATTATGTAACTCTAGGATATTCTCATACCAGTAGGTCAGTGACAATAATTACGTTAGCCTCAGGTAAAGTTGAAGTTTTCCGTTGATTCTAGAGGGAATACCTTGGCACCGGCATCATAGCATTTCAGCAGAAATGCCTAACCTGAGAGACATTGTTTCTAAAACACGAGTAAATCAAAGAGCATCAGTGAAAGAGAAATATCCTTTGAGATTTGGGGATTAAATTAAACGACCATCACTAAAATCAGCTAAGGATCATGTTGATTTTTCTCACTGTTGTACAATTACAGTTGTCCCCACTTTCCCCCATTACTCTCCCCCAGCCTACCCACCCCCACCTTCACCGTTTTCTTTGTGCATGGCTCCTATATACATGTTTCTTGATGACCCTTCCCCTTTCTTCCCCCCATCCCTCTGGTTACTGTCAGTTTGTTCTTAATTTCAGTGTCTATGGTTCTATTTTGCTCACTTGTTTGTTCTGTTGATTAGGTTCCACTTATAGGTGAGATCATATGATATTTGTCTTTTACCAGCTGGCTTATTTCACTTAGCATAATGCTCTCCAGTTCCATCTATGCTGTCAAGAAGGGTAAGAGTTCCTTTTTTTTTTTTTGCTGCATAGTATTCAATTATGTAAATGTAGCACAGTTTTTAGATCCATTCATTTACTGATGGGCACTTAGGCTGTTTCCAGCACTTGGCTATTGTAAATAATGCTGCTACGAACATTGGGGTGCATAGGTTCCTTTGAATTGGTGTTTCAGGATTCTTAGGGTATAATCCCAGCAATGGAATTTCCAGGTCAAAAGGCAGATCCATTTTTAGTTTTCTGAGGAAATTCCATACTGTTTTCCACAGCGGCTGCACTAGTCTGCATTCCCACCAACAGCGTGGGTTTCCTTTTCTCCACAACCTCACAAGCACTTGTTGGTTGATTTATTAGTGATGGCCACTCTGACCAGTGTGGAGTGGTATCTCATTGTGGTTTTAATTTGTATCTCTCTGATGGCTCATGATACTGAGCATCCTTTCACATGTCTCTGGGCCCTCTGTAAACAATCCAATTAAAAAATGGTCAAAAGACCTGAACAGACACTTCTCCAAGAAGGATTATATTGATTTTTTACACAGTTGAGATATCTCTCTCTCCCTCTCTCTCCTTCTACTGCTCTTCTTCTCCCTCCCCGATTTCTGTTCTTTGTTTCCTCTCTCTCTCTCTTTCTCACACCCTGTTTACTTGAAAACTATAGTGGAGAGAAGAAAATCATGTTGAACACTTAATGGATAAAGTTGAAGTTAAGCCGCAATGTGAAGAGAGATTTGGATTCGTGGAAAAAAGACAAAAATGTGGTTGCATTCTTATTTTATTCCTTTTGGTGAATCTGACCATGCTATAGATATTGGTTGACTAGTGACTTCTGATCAGAGAATGGATCATTGAATTTAAAATAACTACCTTTTATTAGAAGAAATGTATATATATAACTCATTCTTAATTCAGCAACTCTTTTAAATATTGACATATTCTCAGTGAACCTTTGCACCATACATGGCCTCTCCTTCTCTCAATTTAAGATGTCATAAAGATTATGGTATTTTAAGGATCATTTTAATTAAAAGATAACCATATTAATGACATCTTGTTTCTTTACATGCACTCCTGGCTTCAGCCTTTGTCACACTAGCTTGCCTATGAATGACAAAAATAATTATTTCCTTTTTTTAAAAGATTTTATTTATTTATTTTTAGAGAGAGGGAAGGGGAGAAAGGGAGAGAGAGAAACATCAGTGTGTGGTTGCCCTTCACACACCCCTACTGGGGACCTGGCCCACAACCCAGGCATGAGCCCTGACTGGGAATTGAACCACCAAGCTTTTGCTTCATGGTCCAGTGCTCAGTCTACTGAGCCACCCCAGCCAGGGCCAAAAACAATTATTTAAAATGAAGTGGTATTTCTACTTGTTCTAGTCATTGATTTATTGTGCAGCAATTGTTAATGACAAAGGAAAACATTTTACTTTGTTGCTATATTGTTTTTCTGCATTATTTCTGCCAATTTTTAAATGAGTACAGGCATTTTTACTCAGGAAAAACAAGCATTTCTGCACTTGTATATGGCTTTTTATCTCTATTTTTAAATTACATAACCTCAATAGGAGCTCCTTAACTTTCATTATTTAGTTAAATTTGTACAGTAGTGGAATCAGTTGGGAGTTAGTGAGCAGCTGCTTTGCTCTAGGTACTCTTCTCATTTTAATATACTAACTCATTTAAACTGCATAGCAGTCCTGTAAGGTAGGTTATTCTGTAATTCCAATTCTATAGATGAGGAAATTAAGACACATAGAGGTTAAATAACCACTGCCAGGTACCAAAACTTATAGTACCCAGTGACTTTACCCAGTGACTTTGTCCCAGTGACCACACTCTGTGCTTTTAGTCACCATAATATATTGCTTTATGTTAAATGACATTAAACATAGATTTTTTAATTAAAAAATTTTAATTGTTGTTCAAGTACAGTTCTCTTTTACTCCCATCCCAGCCCATCCATCCATCCCTCCCCACCTCCCTCCCATATCCACCTCTGCTAGTTTTTGTCCATGTGTCTTTTATATTTGTTCCTATGAATCCTTCCCCTTTTCCCCTGAAATTCCCTCCCCTCTGGTCACTGTCAGCCTGTTCTCTATTTCAGTGTCTTTGATTATATTTTGATTGTTTTATTTGTTTTGTTGTTTAGGTTCCTGTTAAAGGTGAGATCATATGGTATTTGTCTTTTACCATCTGGCTTATTTCACTTAACATAATGCTTTCTATTTCCATCCATGCTGTTGCAAAGGGTGGAAGCTCCTTCTTTCTTTCTACCGCA